TCAAATTTCCAATCGATCCTAGAAAAGCTTTAGTCGATCCTATGGCAAAACGGGTGAAAACGAATGAGAAAACTTTACAAGAGACAGCCATAGTTGATCCTTTTAAAGGCAGTAGTCGATCCTTGAATAGTAAACATGTGGAAATTTCAATTTCAAAGAGTCTTAATCAATTGCCAAGGCTTGGTAGTTGATCTTTAAGCCTAGAACTTTGAAGTTACATGCTCTGAGGAAGTGGATTGTGGAGAAGAGGTTTATACTCGACTATGAAAGCCTCAATTTGAGAGTTTTGAAGAATATAATCAATCTTAGGAGCCTTGTAGTAGATCCTAAAGCTTTAACAATGGCTAAATTTATTCTACCCTTGTGTTTAACAGCTAGATTCTTGTCTGATTCATCTCCAACGACTACATGACCTTTCTAACTATTTAAAAGACCATTTGCGAGTACTTTCAAGTGTGGAAAAAGAGAAAAAATGTCAAAGTTTTAAAAATTGAAGTGTTGAAAAAAATGTGAGAAAATAAGCAAAACCAAGTATTCTTGAACTCAAACTTTTTCATGGTTTGACTCCATTCTTTGCACCCATCATTTAGTCATTCTTCCACCTTAGTACTTCCTTAGCAAAATCCACCATTTAAGGCACTCTTGCTATTCCTTGAAACGATTCTTGTAAGGGTTCTAACTTAGCCTTGAAGAGCCAGTGAGGGTTATGGTTGAACCCGTTAAAAACCATTGTATGGATTATACTTGCTCTCATGTAAAGGCAAATTTGTGGTTCCAATTGATCTAGTGAAAAAGCGTCATGAGGGTTATTGCTTGATCCCATGAAAAAGCATTTGTAAGGATTTAATGCTTGATCTTGTTTTAAAAGCACATTTTCTTAAGTGGATTTGAACTCCTTAGTGAGCTAAGAGATGACGTAGGCATTTGAGAAAGTTAAACCTCTATAAGAATACTTGTGTCCTTGTTTTTGGTTGTTGCTTTGATTTTCATATTTACTTTATGGTTTATTACTAGAAATTTGTTTGAGAAAATCACTAAACTTGTTTTTCAACACAAGTAGGAAATTTTATCTTGGAAAAAGACTTTGTTTTTCACTTGAAATGTTTTTCTTAAGTTACTCTTGTTTGATTTATGTTTGAAAAATGTTATAAGAATTTTAAAAGTGACTATTGTCTATACTTAATTGAGTTAAATATCTTAAGATTAGCTTATTCATCAAAATCATATTTGGAACTTCTTCTTAAGGTTTGAAAACAAGTTTTCTAGTCTAGGATCAATTATAGGATCCTTATTGTTTACTATTGTTGACTATTGTCCAATTCACCCCTTTCTTGGACAATCTTGCTATTTATTCTTTGGGTTGGCATTTCTAACAAAGTCCATAGCAAATAGTGTATCATTTCAAGAGTTTATGCTCTTAAGAAAATCCAATCAAGGAATGTTAGTGAAGTCCCTCTATTCCTTATTGGATATCGTGCCAATTTGAGAATGTCACCACTTAAACCTCCTTCACTTGGTTGCTTCCCTTGGTTGCTTTCCTCTTATGTTTCTTTATTTCTCCTTGGCTAAGCTTAAACTGGTGTTTGATACTTTACAATTCAATGTGATTACAGGTAATGTGATTGCAAGTAATGTGATTGTAGAGAAAATAACATTACAATGTTTAGTATACAAGCAAAATAATGATTAAAATACAAGGAAGATAACATTGCAATATTTGGTTTATAAGTACTTTGTTAGGAATGTAATGTTAATTTTCAAAATTATCCCTATTTATTAAAATACAAGATTAATATACTTGTATATTTATTGTTAATTTTTATATAAAATCATCTATTAAATATATTTTTAATGTCATATATTTTATTTTCATTTCTTATTATAATTTTATATATTTTATTTTTATTTCTTTAGTATAATTTTTTATATTATATGCTTTATTTTAATTTCTTTTACCTATGTAATATAAATTTTAATTTCTTATATTTTATTTTATTTTATTTTTTGATTCTTATATTATATATTTTATTTTAATATATTTTATTTTAATTATAACATTATAAAATATTTTTAACAAGGTAATAAAGTTGAAGGGTAAAAATGTCTTTAAGATCATTACAAAGTGTAATGTAATATGATTGCATTGGTTTGGAACTGTAATCACATTACATCCCTTGACTGTAATGTGATTGCATTACAATCTTACATTGCAGTGATCTGTTGCAAAACAAACACTACAATGTAATTTAATTGAGCATATTATAGGGAATGTGCTCTCACTTTTCTCATACCAAATGCTACTTAAAATTCACGTATAGAAGTGCAACTTAAGAAAAACATTCTTGAATTGGTTTAAGCGTATGTTGTATATAAGCATCCAATCCTGTTTTTAGTTTTCAAATATGTGACTAGCTTGAATTGTCATCTAAGAAGGGATCCACAAGTCTCGTTTGATAGGTGTGTCTAGTGGTCGACTATGGAGCCTGCCCATGTCATGTTACATTTTGCAACGAGTCTCCTTTTGGGTCATGTATTTACAAGTGTCAGGTTGCACTCTTTTATTTTGTAGCTAGCCATGGTAATGTTCATTAATGCACAAGTGTACAAGCAAGTATGTGTATGTGTATGATAGATGATGTAATATCATGGCTCAAGGGCTTATATGAGCACACGAGTGTGCAAAAATGAAAGATGTTACGATTGATATACATATGTAAATATATGAGAGCCGACTCAAGTTCGATGTTTATGACAGATGAAAGTACACCTATGAATCTAGTTGTTGAAGTTTGTGAACTTCCAAGTATTCTGGCAACAAATTGTGTACAGGTGTACCAGATGAGTAAAGCTTGCTTAGATAAAGCGATTTCATTTCATTGTTCCTCATGCTAATCATGGCTTGAGATTTGGATTTTGACAAGATTGATTTTTCATTTTTGGAAAGGAATCCAACCCACTTTGGTAGATTTATTTAATGGCATTCAGTAAATGTCATTAGCTCTCTTCAAGTCCACTCCACTATCCATGTTGAGTATTTAATTTTGTATTAATGGTGTGATATTTACAAAGTTGCGAGTATTGTTGGGCATATTATATTGACAATGAAAAGTATGAAAATGTTATCTCATGATTTGTTGTTATGCATATAGTATTATATATATATGTGTGTGTGTGTGTGTGTGTGTGAATAGGTGAAACGGGTCACTACATTAAAATGATCACATATGAGGTGATATGTTCTTTTATTTGTAAGGCTTACTTGGGTCTAATAGGTTTTGCTATTGAACCCTTGCATTGGTCATGACCTAGGTTTGGGTCATGTCACAAGTGAACAAAGAGATAGTACTTATAAACTTGAGTAACTAAAACAATATATTTTTGAGTCATCAAAACAGAAATTTTGAAGAGTTAGGTGATCACAATGGTAATTTACTCTTACTCTAAACATAACATGTTCATGAAATTTTTAAATTCTAATATTGGTATATAATTAAATAATAATGTATTTAATCAATGAAAGTTTTTATAATTTTAATACTAATAGTTAGTAAATTTATGTCATTAAAATTAAAATCTGAATGATTATCTGAATTCTATAATTTCAATACACATAATCATCTATTTACTAAAATTTTGACATAATGCTTATATGATGGAATATAATCTTATCTATATAATTTGAATTCATATTATGAGATGTCAGATTTGTTCCCAATTTGATATTTGATCTTGGCTTCTAACATATTAATTTTTTTTTTAAACAAAAGATTTGTAGACCCATCAATTGCCTGTTTTGCATCTTTATATCTAGTTTTGTGAGCCTTAATGCCGTGGGGCATTAGACCTTTTTAAGGTAGACAATGTCATTCAATTATCAATTATTTAGGTTTAATCTTACTATTTGTTCTTCCTGTACAGCTCACACACCTAAAATTTCTATGTTATATAAACCTTAGTTTATCCAAACAAAAAATTTACAAATGAAGATTATATATGGCAATTTATATATACCAAAGCTAACTCAAGATAAAATAAAATTTAAAATCAGGTGGCTAAAAGGTAAAACCACAGGCAGACTCTTTTTGAGCGCCCACAGTCTTACATAAAAATAATAGACAAAATCTGGTTTGAGGCAAATGCATTTTTAAAGCAAACAAAGATAATATTTGGAAAGTAAAATAAAAAATCCAAGAATGCATATAGATATTTTCTAAAATTTATTAAAATGTTCCTATTTTAAAAAATATAAGTTTATAGTTGTAGAAGCTGTTAGCATGTTTTTAAAGAGAAATCTGATATTTATTTATTTATTTATTTACTATTCCAAAAATGAGAAAAATAGAGTTTTTTATTTATATAATAATAAATGGCTTAGTTCACATATTTGTACGGACTCCTGAAAACCGGGAGGCAATAGATTTAAACAAGGTTGAGCTCGCAATAGGATGTGGCGAGACGCACGCAGTTCTAAGACAAAGGGCTCGTGCTTTGCACGTGCATCTGTTGCGGTTTCTCCGCCTCTTCACTTCACTTTTGCTTGCATGGCTTCCACATTTCAACTGCTGTCCTTTTCCTCTTTTCTTTTCCTGACATTTTGTCCTCCTTTGATCACTAAAATTACACCAGTACCCCTACCTCTCCCTTCGTTTGAAAAATTAATCTTGTAGAAAACATAACTTTTCTTGTTGTAAAGGTTCCATTTTTTAAAAAATTCTTTTTTCTAGATTTTTCCTTAATTTAAAAAATATTAATTAATAAAAAGTTTATAAAAGTTATAAAACGGTGGGTCGGTTTTGTAATAAAGTTATGCATGTAGGGTTGTTTGAGAAAGAAGGAAAGCAGAAAAAACAATCCCGGAGAAATCGCATTACCCAAAGAGGCCACTCCCCAACTTTACCTAAACAAGAAAAAGATGGGATGGCAAAGCACTCACCCCCGGTTTTCAGGTCTTTTACTCCACTCCATTGGAAACCACTGCGCCTTCCCAAAGACAAATAACACCCTGCCCCCTTATATACCATGCCTCGTCGCCTCTCCCTCTCGCCCTCCGTACCAGCTCTCTCTGTCTCTGTCTCTCTCTGCAATTGGTCCCATAAGTTTATAATGAAGATGAGCTGTAATGGCTGCAGAGTCCTGCGTAAGGGCTGCAGTGGGAACTGCATCATTAGACCTTGTCTTCAATGGATCAAGTCCCCTGATTCTCAAGCCAATGCTACTCTCTTCCTGGCCAAGTTCTATGGCCGTGCTGGCCTCCTCAACCTCATCGAAGCCGGTCCTCAACACCTTCGCCCTGGTAACTAATTCGCAATCCTTTCGAAAACATTATGAGTATTACTTTTTTCAGATTACAAATCGATGTTATTCATATGCCTGAAATGTATAATTCCTCTGGTTTGCATTGCAGCTATTTTTAGGTCACTTTTATATGAGGCTTGCGGGCGTGTAGTAAATCCAGTGTATGGGTCAGTCGGAATGCTCTGGTCGGGCAACTGGGCTCAGTGCCAAGCAGCAGTTGATGCAGTGCTTAAAGGATCACCGATAACCCAAACTTCTTCTTCTGATTCACTTGCGCTGCAGCCGATTTCTCCTCTCAAGACGTACGATATCCGCCACGTCTCCAAGGAACCCAGGCCAGCTGACATCGACAAGCTCAAGACCCGCACTCGTTTCAAGCGATCCGTGAACAGGTCCAAGCGGCAGGTTGACCCGCCCAGTTATGACTCGTGGATGAGCCAACGGGGAAATGATGACAGCAAAGACGATGAGAGCATGTTCTCTGTGGAGACTGTGGAGGGTTCGCTGGTGAACCAGAGTCAAAAGGTTCCTGCTCTGAAGTTTGCTAGCCAAATTGAGGAGAGTACTGATGATGTTGGGTTAGAACTGACTCTTGGATTGGTTCCTGCAGCGCTGCAACCTCACCAGTGAGGAAGAATTAATCCATCATAAAGTGGTAGATGTAAACTGCAGTTGGATACAAATTGATCCTCCTCTGTGCTTCATTCATTACAGATAGAAGCAATTTTGGCGACTATAAAGATATCAACTCTAGTTTCTCCTGATAATAGAATGTTGAAGTTAATTATTTTGTTTCTTTTCTTTTCTTTCTTAATTTTCTGTTTGGTGAAAAAGAAATGTTGGTGGGTTTTTTCCTTTTTCTTTCTGGTAAATTGTAAAATTAGGACACAGATAAATTTAGAGCATACAACTTGTTTTTTTTAAACAATCATCTGTGTATCAAATTTTCACAAAAAAAAAAAAAAACAATGCAGTTTTCATTTTTCCGCACCCATGACTTGGAACATAATTGAATCCAAGCTCTTTGCTAAGACAAACCAAAGGATTCGGCCGTCTAATTTTCAAGGTATTGGCAAATAAATTAAGAGCGATGCAGAATTATTGATGGTATTTTCTTTGGTGGAGAACTGGATATGGTCGGGTGGTGGTATACTTGCCAAATATGGGTTTGCTTAATTTTGTAGTTTCGATTTCTGGGTGGGTGCTTGCTGCTGCAGCAAGTTGGCAGTAAGCAGTGGAGCCTTCGTGGACACCACACGGCTCCAAAGCAGTGGGTCATTCCACGTAGACTCGTGTGTTTAGAGTTCAAACAGCTGCTTCATGCAGCAAAGGTTCTTGGTGTTTTGCCGTTATAAAGGGGTTCTTTTGATGGGAGAGAGGTAGTCTAACAAATAAGTCTCAAAAGAGGTTGTATTTTAAATAAGTAAAGAATAGGGATGATGAACCAAGTGTAAGGAATAGGGAAGTTGTTGAGCAAGGCGAAGAATAAGGCAAGGGCATAGCGAAGGAGAGAATATAAGAGGGAGAGAATAAAGCCCAAAGTCCCTTGAGAAAGGAATTGTCTGAGCGCTTATACATACATCAAGAGAAGCGCGCTACATATAGTGGAGTAATGGTTTTTTTTTTTTTTTTTTTTTGTATAAATGTACGTTTAGGCCATTTATGGCATAGTGGGAAGTGTGTCACTTGTTTTTAGGGAACAGGAAAGAAAAAAAAATGCTGGTATTTCAAAAAAGAATTTAGCGAAAAAATTCTTAATTTTTTCTATATTTGAGCTATTATACAAAACTTATTAAAACATTTCAAAAATGAAAGTAACTTATGAATCTTACTGTTAGTTTCAAATTACTTTCACCATTGTCCATAATGCTATGAATGTTTTGCTCATTTTAATTGCTCTCATTGCTCTTTATATAGAAATATGCATGTTATGAAATTACTTATATAATATTAGAGGGATAATATGTTAGTAGCCGAAATCAAACCTTTTCTTTTTGCTCCATGCATAGGGATCCCTCGTAAAAAGGTTTCCACGTATTTATAATAAAGAAAATAATATTGATTTATTAAACTTTTAATACACGTGAAATATATTAAAAGGATTTCCAATTGTTTACATAGAGTAATATTACACTCTTGCACACGGAGTTGCTGTGCAATATTGTTCTTTGCATGCATGGTTGTGCCATGTAGTAATTTATGTGTAATATTGTCCTATGTTTAGCATTGTCTTGCAAATGATGATGTTTTGCGGATGCATTATCTGATGCGCAGTGTCACAGACTACGCTCCTTCACTTAAATATGTGATAGTCTGTGCGATGCTTAAGTAGATACTTTCACACAAGCTAGCCAATAACTTGTCTAAATCTGAACAAACATTAACAATAGCTACAAATTAGATTAAAGCAATGCACATTGAACTAATATGGCATTCCAAATGACATACATGTGACCACTAGAGCCATATCAAGCAAACTATTTTATTAATATGAAAATGAGTACAAAAGGACCAAAACAAGCCATCGTCGAGCCATAAAGGCAGCTCTAGATGGTTTGCTACATACATTCCTTTACAAATGAGGCAACCCAATAATCCACCAATTGCTCACCCCTTATAAAGAGTTTACGAGATTTTACAAGTATTTTACTGTCAGTTAAAATTCTACTACGCAAGTATACGTATCGAATAGATAGTATA